AGGTTTTCAGCCACAACAATGTACAAAAAACATCAGATCTCCAGACAAATTGCCATTGGTAAGTAGCTTTGTCTAACATATGTTTAACACTAACTACTTCTTTTTGCGCCAAAAAGAAAACAGTAAATGCAATTATGACTCTCAAAGCAAATATACTAATCCAAAATTACAAATAGATATTTGATCTACAGGAACACAAACACTAATAACCGGGACAGATCATTCCAAGCTCAACCATTTCTGATATATAGGTTGTACATCAGAAAAATTCCCCACTACATTATCTAACCATGTATAAGACACCACTTCAGAGTTCAGACCATCAGTTCAAGAAAGTAAATTATGCAAAACTATTAAAAAGCAGATGAGATGCGAGTTTGGCTTCAACAATCATTAAGATATATCAGGAAATTACAAAGTTTGCTTCAGTGAATACCTAAGTGCAGAACCAACAGATGGAGTTCCGACGAAGTGTGGAGCAAGGGTGAACGGCGGGTGGTGTGCCGGCAGCTCGATCCCCACCTCATTCCCTCGTGTGCCGCACCAGGAGAGGAGCCATGCACCCCTCGCGCGCCTGCGCGTCCCGCCTGGCAGTGGCTTTGACGCCGGCGAAGTCCTCGCTCCCGGACGCCTCCATTCTCGGGTCCTTCGTCTCCGTGCGCACCTCCCGCTTCGCTGTCGCCGCCTGATGCGGACCCCGAGCGTAGCCTCCCCGCCTCTCCATTTTTCTCCTCCTCCGTCTCCGCGCGCCCATCTCCGTGCTCCCCTCCCACCTCGCCACCGCCACCTGATGCGGCACCCGAGCGCAACGCGACCCCCTCCCAGGTCAGATCAGGCTGCAGTGAAGCTTCACATCGGGATCCATGGCGCTGTCGTTCCTGACAGAGACAAGATTTGAGAGAGAGAAAAGAAAGGGAGAAGAAGAGAGATAGAGTGTGGGGGAGAGGGTAATGGACAACGGCTGGAGGTCGGCGGCAGTGGCGCGGGACGCCGGCGTGAGGAGCAGGCCGAGGCGCTCGGGACCTGCTGGTCCAGATCGAGCGAGGGGCCTCGGGGAGGAGCAGAGCACGAGGCGGCGGCGTACGAGCTAGATCGGGAGGCTGCTTTTTTTTTCTTTCTCGTCATACCGGTTCGATTGACTTTATTATATGGACTGCGGGTTTATTACTCTAAATCACAAGGACTTTATCGTAAAAACAGCGACGATGTACCACCAGAAGCACTAATAGGCGCTTTATTAGTATATATGTATATGTATGTATATATATATAAGGAAAGCTTATTAGGAGGAAAAGATTAACAACAATGAAGCCTATCAATTACCCATAAACAACAAAATAGTTTATTCATAAGAACCCACAATCAAGCAACCAGACATCACAACAACAATATAAATGAGGAAATTCATTCCTATGACTAAGATGAATGAACGTCTCCTCGCGCCTTTTTCTGATGATGAAATATCTGATGCTTTGTTCCAAATCGGACCCTTAAAGGCGCCGGGTCCGGATGGGTTCCCGTCCCGGTTTTATCAGAGGAACTGGGGTTGCTTGAAAGAGGAAATCATAGCCGCGGTTCGACTGTTTTTTGTCACAAGCCATATGCCAGAAGGGGTCAATGATACGTGTATTGTACTGATCCCCAAAGTTCAACACCCGGTGACGTTGAAGGATTTCCGTCCTATTTCTCTGTGCAATGTGATTTACAAGATAGTCTCAAAATGTATGGTGAATAGGCTCAGACCGTGCCTTGTGGATCTCATTTCAGAAAATCAAAGCGCGCTCATCCCGGGACGCTTAATCTCAGATAATTCGATGATTGCTTTTGAGTGTATCCACCATATCCAAACTTCTTCAGGAAATAATGATTTTTGTGCATATAAGATGGACCTGTCGAAGGCTTATGACCGTGTTGATTGCGACTACCTGGAGCGTGCTCTTTTGAAGTGGGGCTTCGCCCCACGGTGGGTTGATCTAGTAATGGAGTGTGTCAGATCGGTCAAGTATTCTGTCAAGTTTAATGGCCGGCTACTGGAGCAGTTCTCTCCTTCGTGTGGTTTACGTCAAGGTGACCCCATATCACCCTTCCTGTTCCTTTTTGTGGCTGACTCCTTGTCTTCCTTATTACATGAGGCAGTCCAACATAGAGGACTTGAGGCTATCAAAATTAGTAGGAGAGCCCCTGCTATATCACACTTATTGTTTGCAGATGATTCCCTTCTGTTCTTCCGTGCTACTACGGATTCGGCGATGATTGTCAAGGATGTTTTGAGTACTTATGCTTTAGCTACGGGTCAAATTATCAACCCCTCAAAGTGCTCCATCCTGTTTGCTGACAATTGTCCAAATCAAGTTGTGGTGGAAGTGAAACAAATTCTGAATGTTACTCAACAGGAGTTTGAACCAAAGTATTTGGGCCTCCCGGTTCCAAAGGGGCACATGCATAAGGGATGTTTTGAATCTCTGCAGTCTAGATTGAGTAAGTGCTTGATGAATTGGAGTGAACGATACTCGTCTTTTGCAAGTAAGGAGGTGCTTATAAAAGCGGTGGCCCAAGCCATCCCAGTTTATGTTATGGGTATATTCAAACTTCCCATGTCGGTTTGTGATGAGTTAACAAAGATGATGAGGCAATACTGGTGGGGGTGGAAAACAGAAAGAAAAAGATGGCATGGGTTGCTTGGGAGCGTTTGACTCTCCCTAAATCTCAAGGAGGCATTGGTTTTAGGAATATGCGCGCTTACAATCAGGCTCTTCTGGCTAAACAAGCCTGGAGGCTTCTCACTAATCCAGAATCGTTATGTGCCCGACTGCTCTGAGCCAAGTATTACCCTAACGGGAACTTGGTGGATACAGTTTTTCCGTCGAACTCCTCGGCGGTGTGGAAGGGCATTGAGCATGGACTAGAATTGGTGAAGAAAGGAATACTCTGGCGAGTGGGCAATGGGGCTAGCATCGGAACGTGGAGGGACCCGTGGATCCCTAGGGGTCCCCCATTTACTCCTATCTTGCCAAGAGGCAACTGCCGCCTCAATAGAGTCCAGGATTTTCTTGATGATCGCGGCAACTGGAAGTTAAACTTGCTACAACAGTTCTTCTACCAGGCTGATGTAGATGCAATACTGAAGATCCGCACTTCCCCGCGCCAGCAGGAGGACTTTGTATCGTGGCCTTGGGACAGATCGGGGCAGTTTACTGTCAAGAGTGCCTACCACTTTGCAATGTCTTCAATAAGAGATTATCTCAGTCCGGGTGCGTCGAGCTCTAACCCTAATGGTGACCGACCGTTGTGGAAGCTTGTCTAGTCTGCGGATGCCCCCCCCCCCCAAGATGAGACACTTTGCTTGGCAAGTCATTTCGGGATCACTTCCAACAAATGTTGAGAAGTTTCGTCGACATATTGGTACATCCGCCTGCTGCAACCTCTGTCAAAGGGAGGAGGAGTCCTCATTTCATGCGTTACTTGTATGCCCTAATGCTGCTATGCTCTAGGATTCTATGCGGCTAGTCTGGCCACTTCCCCCCAGAACAGATATCCAGTGTACGGGCTCAGAGTGGCTGCTCCACCTCCTACCGAAATCAAACGAGCAGATCAGGAGCAGAATCATTATGGTACTATGGCGTATATGGCATCTGCGGAACGAATTCACTCATGGTAAATCTATCCCTCCACTCGAGGTTTCCTGCTTGTTCTTGGCAAGTTACTATAACACCTTCCAACAAATCTCGCTCAGTGTTGAGGAAATTATGAAAGGGAAAGCTCCGGTGGTTTATGAACCTACACATAGACCCCCATCTGGAATATATGCACCTCGCAAACCTTGGCCTCCTCCACAGGTGCACCAGGTGGCGTTATCAGTGGATGGCTCTTTTGACCCTACGGACGGGTCAGCGGGCTCGGGAATGATTCTTCGTGACATGACCGGGACTGTTATCTTCGCATCCTACCGCAAACTATTTCACTGCAATGAAGCTCTCGAGGCAGAACTGCAAGCTATGATGGAAGGGTTGAAGCTGGCGATAGAGCATTCTCAGGCCACTATTGTTTTTCAGTCTGATTGTGCGGTGGCTCTCAAGATGCTTGGGGATGATTCATTGGATAGGTCGGCATATGGACACTTGGTGGCGGAGATCAAAAGGTTCTTGAATGATAGGGTAGTTATTCCTGTTAAAATTCTTTATGATCAGAATAGGGTTGCACATTGTTTAGCTAATTTTGATAGATGTGAGGATAGCACAGCCTTTTGGTTGGGTCAACCTCCCCCATGTATTAGCAAGCTAGTTGCTGAAGATTGTAACTCTATCACTCTGGAATAAAATACCCTATGGTTCCTCGCAAAAAAAAGACTACACATATGTTGCATGTGCACGAATTATGATTTTTTTTAAAGCAGACCTGTTCAGGTGGGCTGACCTGGCCCAACCTGGGCTAAATGGGTCAGGAACGACACGACCCTCCCAGGCACACCAACTATATGGGCCGACACATGTGCCTAGCCCAGGCACGGCCACTTAGTAAAAGGGCCAGCATGGAGGTACGTTTAGCCCGGTGGCCCGCGTAGAATTCAGCTTATTAAGTTTTTTTAATATATTCAGTCTATTGGGTTGTATAAATATTAAAAAGAAACGAAACGGGTCGTGCCGTGCCAGCACTCGTACCCAGCTTCGCAGCCCAACACGGCCTTAAGCGGGCCACATGCCGGTACGACCGAATTATCGACGTGCCAAGCTAGACTCACCACGCCGTCGGGCACGCGGGCTATCGGGTCAGCACGCCAGGATGGGCCCATTTGGCCACCTTTGTTGTTCAAAGGACCAAAAACTCGACAGAATCTCTCCGATTTCTAAAAAAAAAAAACAGAATATCTCCGGTGCGTACCGGAGGCTGAGAGGAGTCGTAGCCGCCGTGTCAGAAAGCCACACCGGCGCCGCCTGCCCCCCTCTATCTCCATCTCCGTCTCCGGGAAGCGGCGAGGAGCCTTGCGCTGCATCGCCGTCGAGATGGATCTCCTGAGGAAGGAGCTGGAGAAGAAGCGGAAGGCGGCGACGGCCGACTTCGGCGGTAAGAACTTTGTCCGGCGGTCGGAGCTGGAGGACAAGCAGCTCCAGAAGCGCCGCCAGATCCCCGCCAAGGTTCCTTCTGTGCCCACCCCCAACTCCTCCGCCGCCTCCGACCCTACCAACTCCAACGCCGACCCCGCCCAGGCCGGGGGCGGGAACCCTAACCCTAGCTCCTCCGCCGCCGCGGCCTCTGTTCCACCCGCCCTCGCGGGGAAGAAGGCCCCGCCGGAGGATACGCTCCACTCCGAGGAGCGCCGCATTGATGAGCTCGTCCTCCCGCGGAACGAGGTCATGCGGCGCCTCCGGGTGCTCCGCGAGCCGGTCACGTTATTTGGGGAGGACGACGCCGACCGCCTTGATCGCCTCAAGCTCGTGCTCAAGTCCGGAGCGATTGACGACATTGACGACCTTGAGATGACAGAGGGGCAGACCAACGATTTCCTCCGTGACATGATTGAGCTCCGCATGCGGCAGAAGGCTGGTCGAGACGCCTATGGCAAGGGCAAAGGCAAGCGTGTAGGTGCTGGTGATGGAGGTGAGGGCGGCGCCCTGGGAGACGATGTGGATGAAGGGGACGGGGATGCCCGGAGGAGTGGGGATGATGCTGATGCAGACAAGGACTCAAAGCGAATGAAGACCAAGTTTGAGGAGCTTTGTGACGAAGACAAGATCTTAGTCTTCTTCAAGAGGTTGCTCAATGAGTGGAACCAGGAGCTGGATGATATGACAGAGCTGGAGAAGCGTTCGGCAAAGGGAAAGTCAATGTTTGCAACGTTCAAGCAGTGTGCGCGGTATCTCAGTCCCCTGTTTGAGTTCTGCAGGAAGAAGGTGAGCATATTTTGGTGTTCTGTCAGCTGGTTTCTTAAATTGTGTGATGTTATTTTCATTCAGTTACGAATTAAAGTAATTGTGCAAGAGTGGGGTGAATTGGGATTTGAAATTATGCTTGCGATGACATGATGTACCTGCAAAATTCAGAATCACGGGTAAAGTGACGAGTGCTATTGTGTAGAACTTAAGAGTTGTATTAGAAATAGGAGATGACAAAACTTGACATCTAATACAATTTCAACCTTCTGCTCAAATCCTTCTTGGTTCTTGCATTGCAGCCTGAAGAAGTCTTAGAGTATTTTGGAATGGAAAACTGATCAAAGAGATGGTCATTGTCATGCATATTTTACATATAAATTATGCATGTATACCGAGACTAAAATAGGGGTAACCGGAGCAACATCATCACATAAATAAATTTATTAAGGAAAAGGGGCCTACATCTGGTCATCAGTTGAATGTAATGATAGCAGATAGTTATAAATGGTCATCTAATGTTTCTTATGACCATAGTAACCTGGCTGTATTTACATAGTTTCTTATGACCATATGACTTCAGTCTATCTCACTAAGATCTTGTGATTATGTGAATCACATTTGCTAGAGATTCAATGAAGCTTATGAACTTCTCAATGCTGGTAGTGCCAGAGGATCACTATATATTCTGTACCTTAGGCCAGCTTATAAAGCTGTAATGATATAACTTCACTATGAAATATCTCTTATATATCCATGACACATGGTAGACATGCTACTTCCTAGTTAGTGTGATGCTAAACTTGCATTGATTTTGCAGTTTTGCACAACATTTTTGCATCTGCTCCTTTATATCTGTTTCACTCTGCCAAGGATCACACTGTTTTGTTGTTACTTCTGCACTATAAATCATAATATATCTAGCTATGAAAATCCTCTCATTTTTACAGTATACTTCTTATTAACTAGTTGATTCATTGTATGCTGGATATGCAAATTAAAAACCATGTACTCTGAGTAGTGTAACAAGTCATGACTGTATGCTTGGTATTCTTTTGTTGGTGTTAGTTTCAAGTTTAATATAGCTCTTATGCGTGTAAAGAGTAGCTGTACGGCTGTATCAGGAAACACACACATAATCAATTCATCCCTATTATAGGGAGGGTGCTCTTGTAAAATGATGAAAACAATTTTGGTGAAGACGCAGCCTGGGGCTTAATTGTTTATTATCAAACGAAATTTCAAGGCCCGACTCAAAAGCCAACGGTTAACCTTTTTTTTTTCAAACCCCTTTAAATTTTTGCTTCTTTGTTCTCATTCTTCATCTGTGTTGTGCATGTTCTGGCATACAGTGTGGTTTCTGATTCATTGTGATGTAGCTAGCCACCTGGCCCCGATATAGTTCTGAATCTAAAAAAAGAAGGGCTCAGTTGAACTTTGCGCATATTCTGCTAGCAGTTAAGGACCTTTTTGAGGAAGCGACTTTTGATGGTCCTTTTTATGGATTCAGCTTCCTCTTAAACTCTTTTCTTATACATGGATTCACTTTCTCATTAAAGAACCTGCTCGTGCTGAATTGTGATGCTCACATCTGAATTGTGAAGAGTGTTTATGAACTTTATGTTGTACCTTCCATGCCTACGTTATGTTGACCCTCTCCTGACTGAAACTGCTTGGCATTTCTGACGCCAATTATTGCTTCTGTGTTTAGGTTCTTCCCGATGACATCCGTAAAGCATTGCTCTTTATTGTGGACTGCTGCATGAAGCGTGATTATTTGCAAGCAATGGACCAATACATCAAGCTGGCCATTGGCAACGCGCCATGGCCTATTGGAGTCACTATGGTTGGTATCCACGAGCGTTCTGCCCGAGAGAAGATTTACACGAACAGTGTGGCTCATATCATGAACGACGAGACCACTCGCAAGTACCTTCAGTCGATCAAGAGGCTCATGACCCTTTGCCAGCGTCGTTATCCTGCTCTGCCCTCCAAATCAGTGGAGTTCAACAGCTTGGCAAATGGGAGTGACCTGCAGGCCCTTCTATCGGAGGAGAAGAATCCGACGAAAGGTCCTTCTGAGGACAGGCTCCGGCTGATGCCAGCATCAAAAGAGTGATGCTTCACCCACAAGCTCGGATCACAAATACTAGAAGTTTGGGGTCTTTGTGTAATCTAAACTAAATGCGACATTTCCTGTTATGCTTCCATTTTTGTACTGACGTGGAACGACAGAGGAATCATGTATGTTAGTCAAAATTGCTAAAGAAGCTATGATTATCTGTACCAATAGAATTCACTGTCTGAGGATTCACGAAATCAGCTTATAATTGCATAAAACATCCTGTGCCGTTCAACGAAGGTGTTGACAAACCATACTTTTAATCAGGTGGGTTAACTCATAGTTATGTTCTCGCAGAATAGAGCAGACTTGGCTATTAACAGAGGCAAATCACTCTGCTTGAAAGAGGATTCACTGTCTCACTTGCATGGAAACTAATTTTGCTCCCCCCTCCTTTTGCAGTTTGCACGTGAAGCCGGCAGCAGTTTCATCAGTCTCCCTTGTGCTGAATTCTGGGTAAGTGAGCCCACTGCATCACAACAACCAATTATAATTTCCAGATCACATGAACGAAGCTTTGGATGAAAATGCAAATGGACATCAATGATCGCAAGGTGTTTCTTTAGTGGAGACATGAATACCTACGTTTTTAGCAGCCGTGCTGAATGCTTCTTTGTGGGTGATGTCAGGCTCCATGGCTTTAATCCTCTTTATCTCTTCCCTGAGAACATGGTGAATATGTTAAAAGCTTCCAATGGCCTCTCACATGAAATGCTTGTCAAATGTTATGGCTGCATGCTTATTTCTTACTTGATGAAACAGTTGTATGCCGACGGCGTCCGCTGCTTCCTCACCGGCGCTGCAAAAGAAGCATAGCTCATGATCTGTCTGCCGGTGCACAAGAAAAGACGGGTAAGTTTGTCTACGTTTGTTGACGGCAGTGGCACTCTTCTCCACGACCTCTCCCTCCCCGTCGTCGTCGTTGTCGTTGCCGGCGCTGCTGTCGTCCGACCATTCTCTCGGCGGCGGATCAATGCCCAGCTCCTGTTCCACCCGTCAGTTTGGTATACAGACTACAGTCGAAGCTGAAAAGAAGCATGCGGACAATGTCCTACCCCTGTATGATGCCCATGCAAAGCTACTTCGGAAGCAAAGGCTGACCTGAAGAGGCAGCTCGACGGACGGCGGCGGCGGCGGCGGAGGGGGAGAAGCCACGCTGACGGAGAGGACGCCGGCGCAGCAGCCGCACTGCACGGCCACCATCTTGAGAAGGCCGCTGCACGGCACGCTCACCTGCACGTACGCATGGCAGCGAGTCTAAGTGAGCTTCTGCGCACACACTGTGACGCGACGAGAGAGAGCCAAATGGTACGTACCAGCAAGATGGTGGCGCAGAACCTGCACTGCACGTAGCCGAGCCGCTCGTCGAGGCCGAGAGCTGGCCGAGACGCCGACGACGACATGGCGGCGGCGGCGACGGCGACGAGCCGTGCGTTCTGCGGGCGGTGCGCCGTGGAAGGGACAGCAACACTGGAGCGACGAGCAACCTGTTGGCTAATCCAACATTTATCTCCTCTTGGAGTAGGGGGGCATGCATGTGCGCGGCAGTGTTGGCGTTGCAATCAGCACAGTGAAAATGGCTCCCGATCGCCATGAAACCATGCACAGCAGCAGGATCCTCGAAACGGCAACCTCGTGGGTGAGGGCCGAGGGGCGTACGTACGGGAGGGTCTCGAACAATCTTATCAGGCCAACACAATGGAAACGAGCTCCGAGAAGGCGGGTGGCCCATGTCGGCAGTTCTGCGATCCCAAGCCCATGCAGGGTGATGGCGCAGTAACGATCATGGCAGAGATGGCATGCCTCGCATACATACACTCGGTGACAATCGGGTTGCCCGGCAGGGGGCTCCTCGGCTACGTGGTCTCAGCGTCTCGTTGCCGCGGAGATTCCTCCGTTTCGGGGACGGTCTATTGCGCCGGGGACCCCCTGCTTGTCCGTGGCATGGCAGAAGGCAGAATGGCTCGTTTACTAGCCCCAATGCGCACGCTGATGAACGCCTGACAACGTTGGCGTTGCCATTCTGTAACAGAAGGTACTTCCAAGTACATAATTCCACATCTTGGTTATCGATCCAGTGCTAGCTTGGTCGACCAAGAAAGAATCGGATTAAGTCTCTCTTTCTTTTACAAGAACTTCACGAAAAACAGTTGATCATCTGCAGTAAACAGGAAGAAAAAATTACGACAATTGCCTGGGCAGGTATGTTGGCAGTGTTGCAGCCAGTCTGCCAAGTGCGCCAGTTCTCATACTGTCATACAATGCCGAAGGAGATGCCACAAATGCAGCGCAAAGCCATTGCTTCTAAAGAGATGCTACAGGAAAGTTTCTAGTAATTCTTTTTGGGAGGCAGCGCCATCGATCGGTCCGAACCTGCACAAGCATGTGAAAGTGAGTGCTCCCTGCTCCGTGCGGATAAGCTTTAAGACGGGGACACCATATCTGCACATTTTGCTCTTTCAAGTCTGGCAAAATGGCATCGCCTGCTACTGCTTGAATGAATACAGTGACATTTGTCGCAGAAGGAGAGCGAGAGACTAAAATAAATATACTGAACAGCTTCTGCATCATCAACTGCGAGGATCCCTCCATTCTGGGCCAAGATTTTAGTCACGGATTCCGAGACTACGTAACTTATTAGCGACCTTTCTTTGGATACCAAGATTTCTGACATCTTACTCTCGCATTTTAAAATTTTCAAATCGAATCTAATCAAGCGCCCTTGCGCTGAAGATGAAACCGAGAAACCACTGGGCTTGTTTCTTGGTTACGTAGTCTGAATTAGGTTTTCGCTATGTAATCGAGAAATCTCAATTTGGTTGATTTCTCTTCATGTTCTCGTTGCAGAAGTGAAATATTTTCGCTTAAGTACTCGACCCTCCCATAAACCATGGTCGTGGCCTTTGGCAAGGTGACCCCGACCCCTCTCGCTGCTTTTATCTGTCATCACCACAAAGTTGTTGCAGCACATCATTGACTTTGCAACACGACACGGACTTCTTCACAATATCAGGGGCCACAACATTATTGTTAGTACCTCAATTTACACAGACAATGTGGCGGTTTCGGGATCAACCTTACTAATATCTTGCATTGCTTCAGGGAGGTGACAGGATTGCCTATCAACTTCCATATGAGCTCAGTTTCCTTGCCTGTTGCGACCACTTCAACTTGGATGACATTTCCAAAATTTGCCGGCCATGTGCACCTCCTTTCCTATGAAATACCTTGCCTTCCACTCTCGGTGTGGCATCTCAAAAGGGTCGACTTTCAGCCTCTAGATGACAGAATAGCGTCTAAGCTAGTTACCTACATCAAAAAGAATTTCACGACGGCGGGGCATACTACACTTGTCAAACCCGTCATCACCTCGCAAACAATCTACCAACTCACACCGTTCATTGTACCACATAAAGTAAAGAACAATAATAAGTAAGTGACAGATGAAAGATGTCGACTAGAGGAGAGTGAATAGGCGACTACATTTTTAACTTTCCTAGTTGGTTTAAGGATCGTAGAATTCTAAGTTCTCTAAGATGCAACTAACTGAATCAACCAATATGACATGAAGCACAACACTCGTAACAAGATAAAACATGGTAAGCAAGCTAGTAACACACCAAGCAAGTAATAAAGCTTGGGAACAAAATATCCAGATGCATGGTGATGTATCCTAAAGTAAGTCCTTGAGGGGACTTTAATCTTTGTCGGAGTGGTGTGGGCACTAAGTTCCCCAACGACACCGAGTGTCTCGCCTTCGTCTCCTTGAGCCCCGCCAACCAAAGCTTGGATCAACTACTAAGAGGTAGGTCTTGAGGTGGCATCTAACCTCCACAAACTTTTCCACAGATTTTGCACATCACGAAGCCTCTGAGCGACTCCAATCATCTATGAGTCCCCACAACTCCAAGATTAACAAACTCGATGAAGCAGGTCTCCTCTTTCTTTCCCCACATAAAGATTAAAACTTGGGTAGTTTGGGAGGAGTACTCGAGCTCTGAAAGTCAACAATAGTGGTTAGAGCTCATATACAAATGGCCATGTGTTGTTGGGAAGAAGAGGCGGCTTATATAAGTCCCCAAAATCCAACGGTTACCTTCACTCTACGATGTACCTGTACACTTCGGATTTAGTTTGGAGTACTGGAATTCCGCAACCGGTTTCAATTCCAAACCATGCAAAGAGCAGTTCATTGTTCTCGTGTTCAACTTAGAGATCTGGGGTCTGGGAGAGCTCGGATTTTCGGGGTTGAGACAGACTGAAATAGAGACTATAAACAGAGCAAGCTCTCTAGTTGAGAGCTTTACTCAGATCTTCCGGGGCAATCTGAATTTCGAAGAGAAGCAACAATAACATATTAGGTTACCTTTTCATGAAACTCTCAAGGCTTCTTATGAAAAGGATAGAGACGGTAGCACATGATATTTGGTTACTGGACCTAACCGATGGGAGACGGTAGCACGAGATATCTTCAACCGGCTTCGATGGCGGTCATGTAATATGATAGATGTTTAGTTTCCTATCTTATCTTTTTGCCTGCCGGTTGTAGCTATCCTGTTATTTTGCCTATGCTTTCTATGAGCGTCTTTTCTTTCTTGAGACATGAAGACTTTTGTTGAACCCTTTGCTTATCAATAATATGGTTGTATGCATCGTTCTGATGCAGAGCTCGGGGATACCCCCTTTTCGAAAAAAACATAGTCCGGACATTGCACAGAGGAGTTCATACATACCACGAGACTACCAAAATGATGGCATGTTCTATTGTTTCTTCATGATTAAAGACTATATAGATAGGGGAAGTTCGTCACCTATGGCTTCCCTTGCCCTCGTTATCATGGAAGTAGAGATTGAAGACGCAATAGGAGTCGATCCTGATATGCTTGAGGCCGGAGCTGAATGTGTTAGAAGTGGCACTAGGCATCTCATCCCCTTTTCGGGGGAGGTTGCGAGGCCATGGGCAAACCCAACTTGCCGCTTCGCTAGGATCAGGCATGGGAATCCTCCTCGGGCCTCGGCCTTCTTTTCCGCGTCATGTGAGGCTTTGCGGCATGATGCACCCTCTCCATGTCACGGGCACATTGTGCCTCGACCACAAACACATCTTTGCACCTTTCACATCTGGGGCATCTGGGGCCTTAAGCATTGCTGCCATTGGCCTTAGAATCCGAGGCCGACGTTGCTGGGACAAGGACCCAATGTCGGGGATACGTTGAGCCCGGGTGCTGGAACCTTCTATCGGGGACCCGCCTAGCCGCACTCGTCAGCTGCCGTGACAAAGTGGACATACAGCGTGAGCTTTCGCTGGAAGCACCGCCACCGCTAGATCCCAACCGGAGTGGTGGTGAAGGCGCTTGACTGGCGGATCCACGGCGCTCCGGTATCCTCCAGGGAGCGGCGTGCCGCGACTTGGAGGGTTTTCTCCTCCTCGTCCGAGCAGGCGACGAACTCCTAGCTGATGAATCCGGACCGACTGGTCTTAGACCCGTTGTTAGCCACGCATGAGATGATTGGAGAGAATGAGGAGGGGCGAATGTAACGCCCCGTGACCGATGTGCCAGGTGTCTTTCAGTTATTCGCTGTTGTTGCCTTGTCATTGCTTGCGTGTCATGCTTTCCATATCATGTCATCATGTGCATTTCATTTGCATACGTGTTCGTCTCATGCATCCGAGCATTTTCCCCGTTGTCCGTTTTGCAATCCGGCGCTCCTATGTCACCCGGTGTCCCTTTCTACCTCTTTTCATGTACGGATGTTAAACGTTTTCGGATTGGACCGAGAGTTGTCTTGCGGCCTTGATTTACTACTGGTAGACCGCCTGTCAAGTTTCGTGCTATTTGGACTTCGTTTGATACTCCAACGGTTAACCGAGGGACCGAAAAGGCCTCGTGTGTGTTGCAGCCTAACACCCCTCCAAAGTGGCCCAAAACCCACCTTAACCCCCTCCATCATCTCGGTCATTCGATCACGATCGCGTGGCCGAAAACCGCACCTCATTTGGACTCTCCTAGTTCCCTCTACCTATAAATATGTGTGCCTCCCGAATTTTTCGCGCAGATGAAACCCTAACCTCCTCCTCCGCGCGCCACCCGACATGTCCACTCCGCCGCCGGACGCGTCCACCGCCTCCGGCCACGTCGCCCCGACCAATCATGAGGCGCCACGTCGCCTCCGCCGCCTCCCTCCTCCAATAGTGCGCCGCCACCTCAGCCCCCATCCGCCCCGCGGCC